GTAAAGGAGATGTACCAATTTTGTGTTATTAATGAATTACGATTATTGTGGGCTTACCTATGAACAAATTGGTATTCTCCACAACGGTGACACCTGTGGGCACAATCGACTAAACCAACCATACCCTTAAGCAAAATGACAATGAAAATTGAAGATCATTGGAGTGTTATAAAGTGGTGTTATTTACACCAATTTAATCGCCCTAGGCTAGATTTAGTTCTTTGGACACTTTTTAAAGAAGTAGTTCCGGCTCAAAAAAAATGGTTCTCTCAGCTCTTGAGTGGTATAGTGAAGCTGTGGTGGTGAAGTGATTTCAAAAGAGAGTGGAACTATGCTGGCGCAAGTGAGGAACAAAGAGAAGAGATACGTAAAAAAAATAAGAAGAAACGGAATATTAATACAAGAACAACAGGACCTGCTATGTTATACTTTACTAACAGTACTCATTGGGTCTGTAGTTCATCAGCAAAATATATAAACGTAATCTTACGTAAGAAATTACGGACCGTAATATTGCGCAATAATTACGATTGACGTGCAATATTGCGCAATAATCAAAAATGTAATATTATGCAAAAATATTACGAAATATTACATAATATATTAAAAAAAAAATTCAATCTATGTTAGAACATTTCGGATAAATTCGAAACAATTCGCAACAAATCACAACAATTCGAAATAATTCAAGAAATTTAAACAAACTTTATAAAATAAATAACTAGTAATTTGAAAGTTGTAAAATTCGATTCATTTTGAATTAATATAATTTATTTCAATTTATTTAAATAAATAAAACAAAATACTAAAAAGTACTACACTAAATTTTGAGTATACATATATTCAGTATGGTACGGTAGTTTGGTCGGTACCGTATGATCAGTACGGTGATTGCCCTGTACGCTCTGTACGGTGATTACCGATATAAATGTAATTCATGCGTACTACGTATGTTTTAAAATGTGTAACCAATAATACTTATTGGATGATAAATTAACTAATGACGTAACATAATCGATATAAGAAATGTCAATTGCAAATCTAACCCTTTTTTATCCAACAATTCCAAAAAATGGATTCAAAATTAAATATTGATACTGGTACCATTACAAGTTCAAAAAAGAACGATGTTTTAAATCAACCCGATATAGTTGTGATATCTGATACAGACGAGGAGCCAACACTAGTAATTTTTACTTCAAATTAAGAAATAATAATAAATTAATAACGTTTAATAATAATATGGTAATTTTATATTTTATTAAAGGAATCAACGTCAAATTCATTTATTTTAGGCTATGAGGTATTATTTGCACTATTGTGGTCTAGTATTCGATTATTAGTAATTCAAAAAAATAAAAATAAAAATAAAAAAATAATTTATAAATAGGATTTACGAATTTCTAGCAGCTTGGAAAGTGAATATAATAGCGCTAGTAATTTAGAAAATAATAGTGTGCTTATGGATGATTTAGAAGATAACGATGCGTCTGTAAATAGCTTAGAAAATAAAGATGAGGTATATTAATTGTTTTATTTATTTAATGTTATACGTATAATTTAATTTATAGCATATAACTAATTATAGTTATATGTTTTTTTGTATTATATGTAACTGTACATAGCATCAACCAACATTTGCCAAATTTGGTCGAAATTTAACCATCGATCAAGTTGATTATTATCTCGAGTTCCAAGAATATCCCAAAACATCTCAAACTGGTGTCGCTAGTATCTACAATGTTTCTGGCTGGAAACCGGATGATGCTAAAAAAGCATTTGGAATTTCTAATATTCAATATGCTTATGGGGATCCTGGAACTATTCGATTGATTCAAAAATGCCCATTCTTAGGTGTACCTGTTCAAAAAACATATCGTTCATGCCTTAGTGTAAAAGTATGTGAATTTAGTTCAACAACTCTTGATGTTGAACATATGTCAGTTAATTTTGAAGATCGACTTTATAAAAAAATCTTCGATGCAAATGAGTTTTCTGTTGATATATTTACTCTTAAGTAAGTAACAATGTTTTATTAATGTATTTTCTCTTACTAATGTCCGGTTGTCCTTTTATTAATATTCGGTTTAAAAATTTATTATATTTTTAGTGTATACGGTCAAGCTTATAATACACCATGCTCTTATATTGATCCAAATACTAATATTCGTTGTAATGGAGACCCTATACTTAGAGAGTATAAACAGGTAATCATTTTGAAATGTGATCATTCAATAAGTCGACCTGAGTGTCTCCCAAAGTGCAGATCAATAACATAGCCACTAACCATAATTAGATTTTTTGAAGTCATTAATATAAGTGTTTATTAAGAGATTTGAGGTTTAAAATGATATTAATTATCATTTATACAACCCAATATTATTGGTAAATTATTAACTGTAGTTATGGCTGCACTATCGATCCGCACCCTAGATGGGCTTTTTTTCTAAGTCTATACAAGTTGAATTAAAGTCAGTCGAGTTGTTAGCATTCTTATTTTTAATTTTATTTATTTTAATTACAAATTTAGATTGACGACTCATTAACTATTCGAAAGTTTATTGGGTGTAAAAAATATCAATTTGGCCAAAAAGGGTATCGATATATTTCAATTAGCCAACGTGTAAACGTAGAATATCTTGAACAATTATTTCAAGACTATACATACAGTTCAAATGAAATTAGTGGAAAGGTATATATTATTAAATACAAATACATATATATTTATTAAATTAAATATCTAATATTAATTTCAATTATAGGATTATCGTTATGAAAATAAACCTATTAATGAATGTTTTACAGTTCTTCCAAATTCTTCTACAACAAGTCATTGCCGTAAGTATAATTATTTCACATTTAAAAATATATAAAGATAGGATCCGTGAATATTTATAGATTATATTCAATGAATATTTATATATTTATTTAACATCATTCATGGATAACTAAAACCGTGAATATTTAATAAATAGCTACAACCGATATTCAAAGCTAATCGTATATACAATATTAATTTATAGTTTGTTATTTATAATAGCGCACCTCCATAAAACAGATACTCAAGTTATGAAAGGCAAACTGGTTAATAAAGGACCTTGTCCTGTAAAATTTTATCATGTAGCACCTAAAGATTTAACCCAATGTCCATTTATTGCAATAATTTCCATTGGTGTTCATAACCATCCGCCTCCACCTCCAACTAAAACTCCACATAATATAATCGAAAATTTACAAAAAATCATTGAGAATGAACACGATTTGAGTCTTACTACACGAAAGCTTCTTACAAGTAAGTATTTATATTATCATTTATAATACAGTATTATTTTTATATTAATATAATTTTTTTTAAAATAATTAAATTAGAACCAATGTTAAAAATATATCTTCAAGGACGGCCATTAAGTAGCCTGCACCCCTCATTAAATAATCAATCACGTCTTACCTATTTAATTGAAAAAAACAAACGGTCAAAATATCCCTTCGGACAAGACATAATTGGTAAATATACAGTAGATTTGAATTTACTTAACCAATTACAACTTACGCTTCTTATTTTATTTTTCAATACTGCTTACTTCATTGACAATCATTTTATTGAAAATTTATTTAGCCAACATTGTATAGAGTTAGCATTTAATTAGTTGTATGATATTGGCTAAATAGGCTATCTGTAAAATGATTGTTAATGAAGCAAGCAAATTTATATTTCATAGGAGTTGCACATGAACTATTGAAGCAAAAAAAATTACCTGATCCATATATTCGTTCAGTTAGTAAGTAATATTAAATCAAATTATTTAAATTAGGGCTAACTAAATTATTTAACTTAGGATTTCTTGATGATGGTCAATATCTTGTTTTATGTGCTCGAAAAGAGCAAGCTGAATTACTTTCGCAATCATCATATATTGAAATTGATATGGCATTTAAGAGAATTCACGGCGTAACAAATGAGTGGGAAGTTTGTGCCTATGTTCATCGTTATCAAAAAGGTAAATTTATTATTTAGAAATAATCTACTTGTTGTCAGCGACGATAGTATCTAAATTTAATAATAGGTTGATTGCGATTTTTAAAAATGATCTTTGGATATTTAACATATTAACATTATTATAAAGCCCAAGCAATGCAACTAAAGAGTTTTATTTTATATTAGAAAAGGTTATAGTATATAGTAAAGTTATGCAAGAAAAATTTTTTATTAAAACGCAAAAGTTAGTTTCGTAGCATAGTTATTTGACTTGAGATTTTTGAGGTTTTTGAATAGTGCAACCGTTTGGTTTGGAATTGTAATCACTGGCAACAAATATGTTCACTCTATTATTTTTTGTTAAATTAATAAAAAATATAAACACGTTTTACTTATATATATATTTTTTATAGTACTAGTTTTTGCACGAATATTTACAAATTTTCAATCGGCCAGAGCATATCAATATTTATTTGAGGATTTATTCGATACTGTTGAAAAAGATATGGAAAAGCCATTTGAATTTCAGCACATTCATGGTCGTAGATTGGGTTGTATAATTGCGGATGAGCATCAAGGACAGGCACTTGGTAAATATATTAAATAAATAAACAACTCACTTTCGTTATAGTAAATTTTTGATATAATGAAGATTCTATATAGTAAAGAATTTGGAATTGTAGAACTATTAAAATTCAATGCAAGTGCATATAGTCTTCTCTTGATACATATATGCTATAGTGAAGATTTATTTTTTTAGCCTGACGATTTCACTATAACGAAAGTATGTCATATTAAGCAAATATATTATATTTATAATTTATTTATTTATTATTTACATAGGTCTTGGGAAATATCTTCATTCGAAATATAGTTACTTATCATGTGAAGAACATTTAAAACATATTTACAAATTATGTCAAGTTCATTTTAATCAGTGGGTAATTCGTTATTAAAGTTTATCTATAAATTCCATATTTATTAAATTATTAATACGTAAATTATTGTTATATATAGCAATATTCGAAATAAAGCAATTTCTGATGAAACGAAAAAATTAATGTATTCTGTTACTAAATTAAATACACAAGAGGAAATCTTGAACGTATTAGAAAAAATTAAAAAATCTGATGAACCAGGCACAGCAGGTTTTTTTTATTTACAATTGTATTATTTTTAAAGCAATTATGCATATATAATATATTGATTTAAATTTAAAAATAGAGTGGGTCAATGATAAATATAAACCGTGGATATTGGCTGGACTTTCATCAGCATTTACTAAAATGAAAGCTGATATTTGGAATCAAACGCCAAATAATACTAATGCTAGTGAATCAGCGCATGCAAATATAAATCACGATGGTCGATCTTTATCTTTATTAGCAGCAATATATCGGCATGTATTTTAAAATAATAATATATTAAAAAAGGAGCCACATTGGTGCCGTCTAAATTAAATACTAAATTGACTGTCTGTCCCTGACCTCAGCGTCCTCTAACCCTAATGTGTGCCATCAAATTACTATTTAATTTAGACGGGGACAAAAAATTATCCACCACCCCGGGTGGCACCAAGACTTTCATTAAAAAAATAATAAAAAATATATATTTTTTTTAATTCTGTAATTATAGAGGTAATGATTTCAATCAATATCAATGGAATTCGGCCAAAACATATGAAAAATATAATGTACATGAATCGTATAGAGACAAATCTGAATTAGGCCGTTTAACAAATAATTCAAAAAGAACCCGTAAGTTTAATTTGTCTTCTTTTTTTTAGTTTGATAATTTATATAATTTAATTGTTTTTATGTTATTTAGAAAAATGAAAAGCTAAAAATAAAGAACCCATATCAAGGTCTATATCACAAAAAAAGCGTAAAAACCAAGCATTAAATGGTGGAAAAAGTGAAGATTTGTCCTTATCTTCTACATCAACTTTAACTATGGTTCCTACAACACAGGAACAAGACAATTATATCGAATGGGAAAACAAAAAACTCGAATTGCGGCAAAAAAACTTAGAAATTCTTAAAGAAGAAATTTCATTACGTGAAAAACTCAATAATTTAAAACAGTCATAATAATTTCGTTGAATAATAGTAATAATACTTTTAAGTTTTTTTTTAAAAAAATTTTTTTTGTGATATAAATATGAAATGTCATAAATAAAATTTAATACATTTAAAAAATAAATATTTCTACTGCTGCAATTTCATAAAATCGCAAACATTCAAAAACATTCAAAAAAATGTAGCATTTACAAATTTTATAAAATCGCATAACAATCAAAAAATGTAGCATATGTATCTTACAGCTTCATTATTACGTATACAATATGGTACAGTACACATTTATATTAATAAATATAGTACCGTACTATACTGTACAGTACAAGAATTTGATCGTACCGTACATAATTTCTACATACCGCTAAATTTTTATAGCGAATTATAGTAAAATATTTCGAACTATTTCAAAATAGTTTGAATTTTACTAAATATATAAAT